AGGGGCGTGGCGGGCTGAGGGGCGTGGCGGGGTGAGGGGCGCGGTGCGGCAGGGGAGGCGGTGTGGGGACCCCGGCGGGGCGTGGCAGGCGCACTGGGTCACTGGTACAGATTGGGGGCGGACAGCGTGTTGCAGCGGCTGTGGGACATGTCCTCATACACCACACACGCGGCCGCCGAGTCCCTGTCCCGAGATGAGCACACTTTCTTCATCTGAAAAACAGAACCTGTCATCTGAATCCAGTGGCTGGCGTGGTGTCCTGGACCCCACCCCACTCTGGTCAGTTCTAATTTTAACACTGGACCCCCGAGGGGCTCCTCTGGGCCGGCCCCCAGTTCTCCTGAGCCCCAGGGCTTCCTGGCAGAGGCTTCCCCAGACAGGAATGGTCCAACCCCAGGGCAGTGCCTCTGAAGAAGGAAGGAGGAAGCGGCTTGGACACCCCAGCCCAGGCCAAGCAGGCCCCCACTCCAGCCCCAGACAAACAGCAAGGACGGAGGGCAGTGGCCACAGACCAGACCCTGTGCCTGTCCGAGGCCCCTCCCCTTCCCATGACCACACAGCACGCCAGCACACTCCAGCATGCACACGCAGGCCTCAGAGACCCCCTCATCCCACACTCACACCTGCACACCCGCACAGGTGTACACACGGGCCCCAGCTTCACTTCTGATTCCCCTCCCTCCCTACCATGCCACTTCCACCCTGAGAGCTCCCAGAGCCTGCAGAGGAGGCATCCGGTGCTGGGGTTTTCCTTTGAGGCCTTGGCGCCCCCCACTCTGCTCTCAGGAGAGGGACAATTGTGGGGATGCAGGTGGCAGCTGGGGCTTACACTGACCTGGGTCCTCCCCAGCACACACGCCACCCCCAGGCCCAGCCCGAGGAGGAAGGAGACCACCATCAGGGCCGCAGGGAGGGCAGAGGCTGTCGGCCGGGCCTCTGGGCATTTGTGTGCTCCTTGGGACAGTTCTTCTGAGAAGGAAGAAGGGAGGAAGGGATTCTCTGGTGGAGAACCTTGTTAGAGCCCCTGGGATTTGGGGTTCAGGGCAGGGAGAGGCAGTGGAGGGGAGGGGGGCAGCTATCTAGGAAGCTGCTGGGAGGAGGCGGGCTGGGAGCTAGAACAGTGCAGGCACGTGTAGGAGGGAGGGTACCCCGACAAGGGCTGGGGAGCTGGCCTGGCCAGCAGCTGGGGGAGGGGCCTGGGGTGGGCACATTCCCTACCTGTCACCAGGACCAAGGTGCCATGGCGGGGGCGGAAGACATCAGTCTCCGTGACGCCCTCGCAGGTGTAGGTCCCAGTGTCCGCTGGCTGCAGGTGCTGCATGGTGATGGTCAGTTTGTCCTGGGACCCCGAGAAGTTGACACGGTCCCCGAACACTGTGTTCACTGTGGGCGTCGCCCCGTCCTCGTAGTAAATGATGTCTCTGGGCTGTGGCCAGAGTTTCTTCAGGTAGATCCCACTCAGGGCCCCACTGGTGGAGCAGGTGATGTTGACAGAGCCTTCCACGGGGGCGATCGTGAAGCAGGGAGACTGCTGCATCTCTAGGGAGGACCTGGGTTGTCACCACAAGGCTGGCCAGAAGGACAGAGAATGTCCTCCCTGCAGGGAACCTGGGGAGCCAGGGGACAGTAGGGCCTGGGACAGCCCAGGGCTGACATGTCGCCGAAGACACGGTGCCTTACGGGGCCTGGAGCAGCTCTGGGCACCAGCGTCGGGGGCTGTCCTCATGCTCCAAGGCCTTGGGGCTTCTTCCTCCCAAAGCGGTGGCCCTGCCTGGACAGCCACGGCCACTCTCCACCTGGGGTCCCCCTTTCTCCTTCTCTTAAATGAGTCCCCAGACGGTGGAGGCTGCTCAACACCCCACCTGCTTCCTGGGGGCTGTGCTGTGGCCCAGGCTGGGGGTGCTGAGCTCATGGGGCAGGGGGAGCTCCAGAGATGTGGCCATGGAGGGTCTGGGAAGCTCTTACCTTGGATGGCCAGGGCCTCAGGCAGGCCTCGGGCCAGTGCCAGGAGAAGGGCCAGCAGCAGGAGCCTCGGGGGCTGGGCCATGTTCCCACATCCAGCCCTCCCAGCCCGGTGAGTGCAGCTGCTTACCCTCTGGGTAAGCAGGACCCCACAGAGAGCAGCATACAGCAGACCGCAGGCCTCAGAGCTCAGAGAGGGCTTCCTGGAGGCGGTGCCTCAGACCAGGGTGGTGCTGGGTGGCCTCACTTTCCCCTCCCCAGCGCTGTTTCCCCAAGAGCCGTCCTGACCACAGGGTGTCCCTGCCCCCACCCTGCCTTTGCATCTCCACAGGGAGGAGGTCAAGATCCGGGGTTGGGCAGATGAGAGGACCAAGAAGGGACCCCTGGCTGGGGGCAGGTGGCAGGGTCTGGAGGTGAGGGGCAGGGCTGCCTCGGCCCAGCCTGCCTGTTCCTCTGGGGCACTTTCTACTGGGACTTGATTTATGCCCAGAAACCTGGAGCCACCTGTCAGTCACCCACACAGTGCGCAGGGCAGGCCAGACCCAGCCCCCCAGGTGTGGCTGTGAAAAGGGCCCAGGCCTGTGCCCAACGCTGCAGCTGACCAGCCAACCTGGAGGCTTTGTGTTCCCCGTCCCGGGGGCGGGAGGGCTGAGCTATGGTCCAGGCCTGAGGTTCACCCTCCTCCTGGGAGGAGCGTACCAGGCTGGAGTGCTCAGCTCAGGGAGCTGAGGAAGACCCATGCCCAGCCTCGGACCCCAAGAGGTCTGAGTCTGCTGAAAGGGGGCACTTCTCTGTTCTGAGGGCCTCCCACCACAATGATGAAGCATCCATGTCAGTGCCCAGAGCCAGCATCTACAGCACACGTGCAGGAGTAGGTTCACACGTGTGTGTCGTGTGTGTGCAGAGATGCACGCTTGAGACTCCGTGTGTGTGCAGAGATGTGTGTGTGTGACTCGCACATGGACCTGCAGCCCTGAGCTGCTTCCCCAGGGCCCCAGCCACAGCAGGCGGTGCTGAGACACGTGTGGGCCTGTGAGGTGGTGCAGGTTGTCTGCTGGGCTGAGGGAAGCTCTCCATGAACGAGAGACAGAGGCTTGGGGGCAGAATCTTGCCCAGAGGCCCTGGAGCACCCCAGCAAGGATGTGGAGCTAACACGCTTTCCAGAGCAGCCCTTCCTCTGGCCTCTGCTCCATGCGTGCATTCGGTCAGCAACGCTCACCGGGTGTCTTTATGCCAGACATTGTGGCAGGAGCAGGGGGCAGTGCAGACCGCGGCCCTCCCACCTGGAGCTGACCTCGGGGAGGCCAGATGGACAGCCAGCAGGACAGGGCTCAGGTGTGGCCCCCAAAGGCCAACCCAGGAAGAGGCTGTGGGCGACACCAACTGAGGCCTCAGGGATCAGCATTCCAGGCAGTGGGATGAGCATGGCAGAATCCCTGAGGCCAGGACCTGCCGGGGTGTCTGAGGACAGCACGGGGCTGGGCGGGGCTGGGGGTGCAGAAGCAGACACAGACCCCCACACACCGAGGGGGAAGGCGGCGTGAGGACCAGCACTAAATTCCAGTAGGGAAAATGGAAACAGAGAAGCCGCCAGGAAAAGATGAAAATCCTCAGGGACTCCAGCCCAGGACCTCCTCCGAGGTTCCTGCCTGGGTGTGCAGGGGCCACCAGGGCCACTGTGTGCCCCACCCACACTACCAATTTCAGAATGACCTGAGGCTGGGCGCAGGGGCTCATGCCTGTAATCCCAACACTTTGGGAGGCCAGGGTGGGAGAATCGCTTGAGCCCAGGAGGTTGAGGCTGCATTGAGCCCTGATCGTGCCCTTGTTCTCCAGCCTGGGCGACAGACCTAGACCCTGTCTCCAAAAAAAAAAGGAAAAGAAAAGAAAAGAAAAAAGAACTTTGATTGACCCGAAGACACGCCAACACTCTTCCGCCTGTGTAGGCTGGTGTGACAGCCCCGAGGCCCACATGGGGGTCCCAGGGGCTGTGCCCACAGGACAGGATCTGACCCAGTTGAGCCCCGGACCCAGCACGGGGTGACTCAAACCTTATTTTAACCTGAGACACAAACTCGCCCCTTTTGGACCCTGCTCCGGCGCGACCCTCAGGGCGGCCGGCTCTGCGAGGCCACGGTCACCCGGCACCGCTGTGCCCCTGCTCACTTCACCGGAGTGAGGGCTCCCTGAGTCTTCATCTTTAGGACGCCTTAGGGACGTTTTGGGGCTTAAAGCACTAAAGATGTTTCTTTTAGATTTTTGTTTTTCATTTTAAAAATTGCATTTCCCAGCGACTTGGCTGTTTGTGAGTCCCGTTTTCTTTATTTCAAAGACTCGGGTCACAGAACTTTTTCAGAAAAGCGAAGGGGGATTCCGGGAGTTGCTTTTTCACCCCAGACTCCTCAAGAAGACATCAAAGGGCTCCACCGCAGTGGCAAAAAGCACCCCAGATCTGGGTCCAAGGCAGCCCGGCAGGTGGGGTGGCCGGGAGGGGGCGCCCCCAGGCGGCCGAGGGACTGAGGGACGCACGTCCAGGCCCGGGGGGGCAGCGCCGGACTCACCAGCCCCAGCCCGAGCCCAAGCCGCCACCGCCTCCTCCCGGCCCGGCCTGCGCTGCCCCCTGGTGGTGGGGCCAGGCACCATCCCAGCCTCTGACACCCCACCCGACCTTGGCCCCTGGGGCTCCTGAGGGAGGGCCCCCCAAACCTGCTATTCTCATAGGCAAGGGACAGGTACATGGTCAAAGCCCCCCAAAGCCCTGAACTGGAGTATCTGCGCGGTTCCAGCAGCGGCCCCCTCGCTTGGGGGCTGCTCAGGGAGTGGAGAGAGAAGACCCCGAACTCAGGGCTAGACTCAGCCCAGGGCGGCAGAAGGCAACCTGGGTCTGTGGGTTTGAGGAGGGCGGAGGGAGGGGCATGGGTCCTGGTAGGTCGGGCACTGCAGTGCTGAGGTGGTCCCATTTTGGAAACTGAGGAAGCAGAGCTCGGAAGACCTGGGGGGTGGAGGGGAGGGGTCTGCACCCACCCCGGAGTGGGTGGCACAGAGGTCCAGCCTGCCGCCTGCTCTCCCAGGACCTCCCAAGCAAGCCGGTGTCCCTGCCCTCCGGTGGGACAAGAGACCCAGGCCCCACCACCCAAGGTCAGCACTCAGGGCCGGCTCTCCTGTGCCCTCTGTGCCAGGCAGGTGGTTAGGGTCTGTGGCATCTGGAAACAACGGTTGGGGGACAGCAGCCCCAGTGCTCCAAGGGCTGAGGGTTCCATCACCGGTGCTGGCGGCCTCGGGGTGGGCTTGGGGGCTGGGAGCCACAGGCGGGGGGCTCCTACGCAGACCCTGCTGGGTTCCCGCTCCGGGGGCTCAGAACTTCATCTGGAGCTCTGGGAGGAACTTCACCTGGGGAGGGCGGAAGGAGGTGCATGTGTGGCATCTCGTCCCTGGGTCCACAGCTCTGCCCTCGGGTGTGTGCTTGCTTGCACACCCCCACCCCTAGGCACACCACGCACCCTCACAACACACACCCTTCCACACTCCCCCAGCCCTGGGTTCTGAGCCTGCTGCGGGGTGGCACCCTCTGCAAGAGGCCCCTTTGGCTCAGAAACTCCAGGTTCCGTCCCTGAGGGAGATGGCACGTCCTGCCATGCTGCCCTCCAGGGAGTCCTGGGGACAGTGACGGTTGTAGGGAGGGCACAGTGGGTCTGGTGGGAGTCTGGCTCTGTGTTCTTGGCCATAGCCGGCTGGGCCCCTGGCGGGGACTGACTCTCTGGGACTGGTGCTTCCCTACCCTCTCCTGGAGCCCCGGGGGTGGAGGACAGTGAGGGTGAGCTCAGCCTGGGCTGGCCCCACCCAGGACTCCCCACCCCGCTCATCCTGGGGTGCAGGGCACCCTACCTCCTGGCGTTGCCGGGAACGGCGGCACATGTAGCAGGCGAGCATGACCACAGCAACCGTGAGGATGGAGACAGCAGCGACCACCCCCGGCACAGGCCCGGACCCAGTGCTGGGGGCAGACGGGACCTCTGAGCCTGAAGGGGACAGTTCAGGGATGGACAGTGGGCTGGTGTGGGAAGAAAGTTGCCCGGGTGCCTCGGCAAGGCACAATCTGTCCCACATAATAAACAACGGATTACTTAGTTATTACAATGACACCAAATAGATATTAGATTCAATCACATATTCAGTTACATAATCAATCTTATTACATCATTCTCCATTAGTCTTCAGTATTATAGTGTAGGAATGTTTGAGTCTTATAGTCCGGACATAATCGGGTGAAATATAATTTGGAACTGAAGGGACATTGTGAGAAGTGATCGGGAGGCGAGAGTAAATGCCTCGCGGTAATGCCAGCGCCCGGGAAGGCGCCCGTTACTTAGCAG